TTACATATGAAATGTAATAATAAAAAAATATTGACTTTAACAAAACTTGTTCCATATTGGCTAAATTCCAAATGCTTCAGTAATCAAGTCATCCTTTTAAAGGTTGCTTTAAGCAGTGGTGATAAAGGGTTGATCTCCCCCTCATCCTGGTGATCGCCACATCTGGTTGATGACATTGAATGTTTGGTGGCACGTTCGATGTTTCCACATCCCCTACAGCAGTGGACTAACGCCAACCCACCGTGCTCTTCTTGTAAACAACTTTCTCTCTCTCTCTCTCTCTCTCACTCTCTGTCTGTTGCCGTTTCTGCTGACTGGGAAACGTAAGGCGGGTCTTCGCTCCAGCATGTAATTTGCTCTCACCAGAATATGACAGTCTCGCTCGGCCAATCAGCTTGCAAAACCAACTTCAGCACATGGTTTAACGAAGTGTGCAGCTAAAACATTTCACTCTCTGCGCACCTTGCATCAACCTACATACTGTGTATAGTATACCAAAATGTGAGCAGTTTACCATGTTGGTTCAGCACCGGTCACTAAACACACTGTTCAGACATATAAAAACACTTTGTTCCTTGTCAAGAACGGAAGACACCAAAAAGTTGCACCGAACTGAATACAAATAATTAGGGCTGTAAGTAACAACTACAATTAACAATCTCAATATGAATCATCCAGAATTCCATTCCATAAATAACATCTCAGAAAATTTAGAAGAAGAATTCAAAAGAACTGTGGCAAGTACTCAAAGCACGATCAGCTCATTGCAATGATTACAATGTTTTGGCTTGGGATAAAGGTCAGAAACTAAATTAGATTATCCAAAAAAAAAAAAAAAAAAAAATTGCATCTGATCAACTTCCCCCATTTTAGCCAACACATTTTAAAGACACAAGACCGAATAAAAGGGATGGCCAGCATTGAGATTATTCTTCCCCATAGCAGCCGTTTTACTCAAGAGGTACTTGACAATGTCACCCAAGACATGACCTCCATTTTGGGCCCCAGCTGTGAAGAAGCAAACATGGCTGGCACAAATAAAAACTTGCATTTGGGAGGGTACAGGATTTAAGGAAGCTTTTGTCATTTAAATGAGCCAGATCTCTAGCAAATTAGCATTGAGATAAACTGTTTGCCCTCCTGCTGTTAAAAGCCATTCACTAAGCTGACATATTGGTGTTAATCAATCAAGGTGAGAAATTGACCAAAAGTAAAGACTTTAATCCAATCAGTGATATGCAGATTGAGAAAAGCTGACCAGACAGCATTAAAAAGCAGTTAGGTAAACATAGGTGGATTTCTGTGCCTAAAAAGTTAATTACACAAATCTTCAAAATTCTAAATGCAATGCACATTTAACTATATTTGATCATTCAAAAGCTCAAACTGGCTGCACTATCAAGGAGACAGCTTCAACAACTGTTTGAGCGGCTAGGGTACAAAATGTACAGATAACTTGCCACGCAGACTTCATAAAAAATGTCAGAGAAAGTCTATCTGACTTATAAAGGAGGCTAAATGACAATAAATCACTTTAACATGAGTCCATTTAAAAATATTTGCAGGATTTCCAGCTGCAAAAAGCAACAAAAGCCAAGATTTCCCTTTTAGATATTTAGCTCACACTTGCAATTTTTACCATGAAAAGCCTCATTAAATACATTAAAATTACACAATGTTCCCTAATGGACATTTTAAAAATCAATGCATTTAAACCAAGCAAACAGTCAAGACTGCCAAAAAGGACAATGTGTTCAAGAAACCAAAACATCTCCAATCTGATCCAAGCCAGCTAAATAATACACCAGAATAACCTCCTTGTGTTCACTTTTATAAATACACTAACTTGAATATTCAATTTATAAATGGGGGTGTTTTCCCTTTAAATGTCATAGTTCCCAAAAGCCACATCAGCGAAAATGTACTAATTTCTCTTTTAACCAAACAGCTAAATTCCAGTTTTAGTTAGTGATTTCCTTAAACCTCTGCCAAATCAAACACATATTCAATTTTTACTTAACAATATACAGCTTTAAAAAAGTAAAAACAACACCCAAGAGACAAAAGGCTACTTTCCTTTAAAAATAATAATTAAGAAACCGGTGAGGAACACGCTGTGGACTCTTGCTCCTCACCCACCGGTAACGTTTTTGTTTTTTTTAAATATGCAATATTGTGAAGTATTTCGATAATTATACTCAAGTTAAAGTATCAAATTAAAAGCTAATTGCTTACCTGCAGCTGCAGCTGCACCTGGTTTCTGGACGGTTTGGGGGATGTTCAGTCGGCGTTTGGCTGGAAAGTACTGTGTGTCCAATATGTGAAGTCTCTATAGGAGGCCGGGACATGTTCTATATGCACGGGGGGGGGGTGTGGCACTCTGAGTCCTCCAACACATACAATGCATAGTTCATGGGAAATACATAGACCCCCACGCCTGGGAGAAATGGTCTCGTCCATGTTTGGTGCACACATGTTAGCGGATTGCTGGCACTTCCTGCTTATCTTTGTCACGTAACGTAAAATACCAGCACGTAGATTTTCTACCTGCAAATGTCACGTTCACACTTTGGATGTAGGCTATGTATGTGCCTAAATAAAATAGCTAAAGTACATTTGTGTATTTATAAAGTTGAACGTTTAAGTCTTGTGAAATCAGGTATGAACGTTTTTTATTTAAACATTAAAGTGGGTTGATCGTTGGGGGAAAAAATTGTTTTGAAGAGTTAGTTAACTATTACTAACTACTACTAACTAGTTAGTTAGCTATTGGACTAAAGATGCTCCGGTGTGCGCGTTCACACCGGAGTACGCGGCTTATTGTGTAGGCTCCAGGAATGGGAGCATTGTAATTGCAAGTGTTTGTAGTCCACATTTTATATGAGGAAACTTACCAGAGTCCATCATTTATTTGCATTGTTTGATTCAGTTAATTCTTGGCAAAATGCATTTAAAACAAAGACATCTCATCCATATTGACATCAAAACAATTTATTCTGAAGCCAATATGGAGGAAGTTTTTTTAATTGATCAGTTTTTTTCAAAAATAGACCTACGTCTGAAACATTCTTGCCTTGAAAATAGTAAACAAAATGTTTCTGATCATAGCTTCCCTCAGTTCCCATAATACAAAATGTAAATGAACTGAACTGGTGACTGCAGAGCCCTTTGGTTTAGGTCAGTGGGTTTTTAAGCATTCTTACTCAACCTGAGAGGAAGAAGGATGGTGTTGTCCACACTGAGGCGAGACAAGCTGTCGAGTGAAACACATCACTGAAATTATATATATGCTACTCCTTTAATATAACCCTGATGCTTTAGTGATGTCTTATGTGTATCTTTAGTTTCCAACATATTTAATGACATATGTTTTAGCTGTGTGGTGTTGCAGACCCCCTCCCCCCTGCCTGTCATCCCTGACTTGCTTGTCACCTTTCCCCCGTGCTTTACCTCATTTGTAGGGTGACATAAAAGTTAACTGTTTAAAGTATGTGTTTACTCTGCAATACGTAAAAGGGGTCACAGTTTTTCTCTTGGTTAAAGAATGAACCCACTGACGTATAGAGGAAAAGGGTGGAGATTTTTTCAACTGTCACCTTGACCGTTGATATATGACTTGTTTCCAACTTCGTTTCAAATATGCTATCGGCTTCTGTAAAAAATGTATCATAGGTAATACAAATGTGAAATATAAGTAAAGTAGAGTAGTTATCTTTCCAGGAGGTCCACACATTTGATGTTCTGGGATCACGCAATCCTTCTCAGCAGATGGACACTATGTTTACATTTCATTTTGTTCTTTTTTTTTAGCACGTTAAGAAACTCCAATCGAAGCATGGCCATTTAAGCATGTTCATTAAAATGTGCATCTCCATGACACATTTCCACCAAACTCCATGTAAGAAGGAAGATCAAGAACCGCTGCAAAGTGGATCTTGTAGTGAGATGTAAGCAACATTTAAACAAGTGAATTACAGATTTGTAGAGAGAAAAAAGTAATGTGTTACAGTATTTTATTTACAACTGTATTCACAAAAACAATGCACAACATGAACCACAGTTTAGACAAAAGGAGGAGGGCTAAATACATCACAAATAGCAGATACAATTAATAAATATATAAAAAATGTGAATTATGGTATTCTTTTGTTACATTTCTCATATGTTTGAGACAATCTTACAGGTTTCAAGTAATCTTTAGCAAGGATTTGAGGGATTTCGGTACTTTCACAAACCTCATTGTGTATTTATTAAAAAGTGATATCTTTGAACATGATGATACTGTTACATCTATGACCTTATATACCACAATATGCAATAAAAAGCAGCAACCTCAATGATTTGAGCCGGGTAAAAAGTTTCAAAACAAAACGCGTCATTTTTGACCTACTTTCCCAGCTGTAGGAGTTAAAGGAGAGGGAGCCCCCCTGTGGAATGAGGATTATTATCCCACGTGTGAGCAGCAGCGCAGCACTGACCTCTACTGCTGCTGCGACGCAAAGACACTCAAGTGGAAGTCATCTCAGGACATCTAAATTAAATACAGGTTATTATGGAGGTATTTACAGCTGAATAATTACCTTTTTAGGATCAAGTGACATTGAATGAAGTGTAAATAGTAATCTGTTGACACATTGGTATTAACTATCCCAAAACAAACTTAAATGCAAAGAAGTGTAACAGTACAAAATAAATGATTTCTCGAGTCCCAGTACTACTTTTATCAAAGTAATGTTTCAATTGCATGACTTGATGTCTTTACATTTTGGTTTTATTTGGGGAAAGGATCGATGATTTAACTAAAATGTTCTGGTTTTTCATTTCAACATGCCTCCACTGCCAAGCACCTTTATAGGTCTTTTATAGAATAGAGCCACTTAAGACAGAGTTACAAAACTCAACGAATCCGGACTGTATAATAATTTAGAAATACCTAACAGGAATGGTCCTCATACATAATTAATAAAGCTATTCATGTCACAAATCAGTGAAGTCAAGGAGACATTTTGACAATTTTTATTGAACAACATTTAGATCAACCATTTAAGTCAGAAAAGCTTCAGTCAGGACAGAAACATAACTTAAAAGGACTTTTCATCAGATGACTGGGTTCACATCATACATGTTTTTGGGATGTATCAATCTTTTGACCTAACAGTATTTTTTTGTGGTGTTTGACTGACTGGAGCTTGTGTCAACATACAGTGCATCAAAACATTTGGTAAGCAATTTTATTTTATTAGTTTTACATTGAAATACAAGGAGATAACGGCAAAATTCCTATTCTCCATCAAATTTTAACAATATGCTTTAGCTGCCTTAAAATGTTTTAAATTAGATTCGGATTCCAACTTGTTGGAAAATATCTATTGTTCAGCAGTAACAAAAATAAAACAAAAACGGATTAGACAAACTTTATCTGCCACCTCTACAAGATATGGACGGTAATCGTTTTTAAATGGATATAAAATGGATATGAATGTGACAACAAACGTTTTGTTACATCAAGTGCAAGTTCAAAACAAACCTATAAATGACATTTGTAATATAAAACTTGGTAAAAAATACTTATTTAAAACTGTACAATCACCAAGTACACAGAGTGAGCTCATAGTTATTCATTTGGCTTCAGTGGCTTCGGCCTTTGGCTCCTGGGGGCAGAAAAGAACAGCATGTTAAAGTATTTCTTGATTTGTCAGGGTGAAAGTACATTTCTCTCTACTGTGACCGTTATGACACGAGTATCTCCATTTCATCTCATTTAGGATATGCCCGCAGGATCATGAAGACGAAAACATACATTCAGATCATTTTATTGACTAATAACACAGGAAAACATGTATTGACAGAAATGTGTCCCCAAAGAAACTACAACTTTGGAGTTTACAATCCAGTTTGTTTTTCCGTCTATAATTATTTAATAAACTGTTTGTTTTATCTGTAAAATAGCACAAATTATCTACCAAATAGAAAATAAACATTGTGTTGGGTAAGACTTCATAAAAGAAACAAACCTCAGCCTTCGCGCTCCCATTCTCGGCTACCTTGGTCTTCTTAGCTTTGGCTGCCTTCTGCAAACAACATGACAATTGTTTACTCACAAATGACAGCTTTCCAATTTACTGCACAAGCATCACAAGTTAAGAAAATGTAGAGTACCGAAACATCTTAATTGTTTCTCATAAGGACTTTGCGTTTTCTCAAACCTAGGACACAGTCAAGGGACTTAAGACCATGAAACAGTGTCACATGTGACATACAGCATGAAGAGGTGTGTTGTTGAGATTTGTTTGTGTAATTATATCATACCTTCACAACAGGCTTCTTCTTTACCTCCACTGCAGGTTTAGCTCCCAGTTTCTGCAAAACAAAAAGACATGTACGTAAGTGACAATTGATCACACACAGGAACATGGGCTACAATGGAAAATAATAGGTGCCGACCTCAACTGCATCATTAGCTTTTTGCCCTTTTCTCAAAATAATACCTGTTTACTATTGTATAGAAAAAACTAACAGATTTGGATCAATTGATAGTGCAGCAAGTTTGTGCAAGGCCAATAGACACCAATGGATTTATGATCATTTTCATTTCAAGGTTACATATGATCCTCAAAGGAGGATGCTGCTAGGAATCCAACTAGGAAACCAGCAAAACAGTATAATAAAATATATATAATATAAGCTTACCCCAGCCAGCCTCGGGGAAACTCTTCTCTGCAATTGTGAAAGGAGGAAGAAATACATTTAGATAAGATTTCACTTGTAAGTAATTTGCATAATTTAAACATATATTTCACAGCAGAAGGCTTGTCCCAACAACAAATGACAAAAAAACAAAATGAAGCTATCAATGTATAGGAGATGTGTTTAAAACTCTAGCAATAACAAAGCATTTATATTATGATAAAAAATACCGATATTATTTTTACAAACCTCTGTGACGGCTACCTGGAAGAAAAATAACAGAAAAAGAAAAATATTAGCATTTTATTCTCGACAACCCAAACCGAACGACAGTCCCAAAATAAACAACAAGAAAAATAACAAACAAATAACCTAAAGAAACATAGTTTGGACGTCTCAAAAAAACTTCCCGCGCATATTTGAATTCAAATTTGTTCTGGTTGTCATTTGGCGCGCTGACAGCTTCCTTTGTTTTGCATCAACGCGCGCCGACACACAGCTGTTGGGAAACTGATGAGATTACTACATTACTAATCTGTAGCCACGTATTAAAGGACGGCAAACGGAAACCCGCAGACCTTAACAAATAAAATAAAAACATTTACGTTTAACTAATAAAACATGTTTTATTACATTTATTTTTATCCTAAAAACGTTGGATATTTTTTCAGAATACATCACGATCAGTTATCGCAACACGGAAATGAACATAGGCTTAATTAAAAAGAACAAAAAAAAATATTTTAAAAAAAAAAGGAGCATTTTTTTCTTCTTCTATCGTTACATTTGTAAATGTAATGGTGCGCACTATTTATAGTAACGTCAGCTGACTTGGCCCGACATATTTTAAGACCAATGTTGATTAAATTCAAACTGGCTGAGGAAACGTTAAACCTGTTTTGAATCAACGTGCATTAGCCGAATTTTTCCTATTTCAAAACAGAGAAAAATAAATAAATGTGACCACCCCTCCCCCCACTGCTTCCTCAAATTTGCAAGTTGTGCTTTTAGTTATGTGTTTATTGCTAGATTAATCGCACACCAGTCGGTAATTTACTCGATCACGAGTTATGCGTTCGTTTTGACCGGGTAGCTGCACATAAACAGCTTCAAGATTTCCCCCCAAAACCTGCAGCCAGAGACGGAAAGACAGGCAGCGCAATGTCAACGCCTGCACATGTCCAAGCGTTGGCGCAGAGCGTGAAAACACCAATATGTACGTTTATAAGTCGTGTGCAACTAATACACATATATTTTACGTTACTATTTTGATTTTAAACTTTTTATTTTTCGAAAAATGGGGGATTGCCCGCCCAGATCTCTGCTCTGTGGCCGCCATGGCTGCAGCGTTTGTTAGTGATGATGACGCTCCTCTGATGCAGATAATGTCAAACGCAGCCTAACGGTAACCTCTACATAAGACGAGCTTAGTGCAACGAGTTAAAACAAAATGCATTTAAAAATCTTACCTTTGGCTTTCCCATGTTGCTGATAGGATTGAACAGGAAGCTCACAAAAATAGAACCTTAAAGACGGGTGTTTTTTTCGGAGGGATAACACACAACAACCGAGTAGTCGCTGTGTAAAATGGCGAATGTATAATGCAAACGAATGTTTTTGTAGTTTATACCCTGAAATATAAGAACGAAACCGGTTAGAACCAGTTTTGTGTTTCCCTCTCTGTCATTGGATGCAAATAGGTCACGTGTTCTGAGGAACCTCCCATTTGTTAAAGAGGCAGGACCGCATACTGGAAAATACCAGTCAGTGGCGGAAGGGGGCGCTGAATAAAAACAAGGTTTCTTCTTCCTTGCCGCTCAAATGTGCAAATCAATGAAGTGAGAAAAATTGCACGGCAAATTCTTCACTAGAAAGTGGATTAAAAATATGTCATTTGGATGTTATAAAATGACTAACATAAATAGGAGATACAATTGAACATTGAGAATTCATACTTGGTCTTGTGTTTTTCCCAGATTAACAAACAAAGGGATTGTGTCTCTTTACTTGTGTTAGATTTCTGATTGGAAGTCGTAGTTTATCCACCTTTTACATGTATTACAACATTACGACTATTAGCTAAATACTAATGGATATTTGAATTGACCAAAAAAATGTTTACAACCATATTGATATCATTACATGTTATATCCATTAGTGGAGATGTCCAATACTTATCCATAATTCACCAGTAGAAATTAGAGAATTAGTTGACCTAAGTTATTGAATCTAAATCAAATCTCCATGGAAAGCGTTTCAGGGGGAAACAACTAACTGTATTTAGTTTTCCCTGAGATGCTTTGTATGGGCAGCATGGACCTTACAAGAGTAATTATTGTCTGCTGTCAAGTTAACATATACCGTGTCAATATATTAAAAGTAAAGAGCCAGATTAGAGCAATAATTGGGGGCACTGTTCAAACACAGATATGTAATTGCAAAAGGACCTGAGTCGTACATCAGTTATTCATTTCTGATACAGTAATCACTTTAATTATTCTGTTGAAGAAAGCTGGTCAAAATCTAGTTATTGTCTTTGACATCACACTCAACAATCAACAATTTCTTTGGGCCACAACATTAAATGCAGAGCTCTGCTGTATTATATGTATCTGGACGGCTTGTTAGGAACCACCATAGAGGATCCCTGTTTTTCTCTCAAACTCGCAGTCAATAGCATGCATTTGGCAGAACATTTTCACAATAACCTAACTACATCTTGACCAGACATTTCCACATATTAGACTCTTAAGTATAATTTTTTCTACAGCCCCATAGGGGTAAATTCGCCCTGTCTTGTACAAATCGATAACACAAATTCAACCATTCCCATTTAGTGTTCGCTCTTTAGTTTTTCCACAGCAGCACTTTCTGGAAGAGGAGAGGAGAGCTTTCATCCCCACTTCAACATGGGGGTTTGTTCTTCGCAGCCTCTAGGCTACCACGGCGTCGCTCAATAAGTCATTATAGTAGGAGTCTCTCCTGTTCTGCAGCGCTTCCAGGAAGTCGTGAATCCGTTCTTCCCGGCAGGTGGTGTAGTGCTGTAGTGCCTCTTGTCTTCTGCGAGCGTCAGCAGGCTTTCCGTTCCCATGATGCTGCAGGTGCTCCGCCACACAGGCGCGGTCCGCCTCCAGCTGCACGAAGGCCTGGTGCTCTCGATGGAGGTCTCTGGCTTTCTAAAATACAACACACATTTAAAAGTACAATTAGTAATAGGCTGCGTCTCACTTCTCTTATTTTTCATTTCCTCGCTCCTCGGTCTCGGTATTACCGGAAGTTGATTTGTCTGCGCCATCTTGAGTAGCGTCCCAGTGGCCTTATTTGTGCCGGAGGACCGAGGATCGATAACGGAGGAGCGATAATCGAGGAACCACCAGACCATCCTTTGGTGAAATCCTCAGACACTCGCCACGCCCCCTTACTGTGTATCGCTCACTGATTGGACGATGCAGCGCATGCACTGATCTGATGCTTTTTGACATGAGAGCAGTTTCCCAGCGGAGTGAAAATAACACATGAAACTCACTGGAGTCACTCCTCAGTTTGTACTGTGTTTTGTTTCAATTAATGTATCATTCAGTTACAAATATGTGATATATCTGAACAATAAAGTGGTCAAAAATCATTTTATTGGAAAGAAATTCACGATCTCTTTTTTCGTTTATACATTTTAAGAATGGCGTTTATTTTTTTTGAGAATGAGTTCTTATTTTATTTTATTTATTTGGGTCTACAACAGATGATACAAATGTTTATGTCAGTAAATGTGTACTAACAGAGGCGGGGGTGTTTGTGAAAAAAACGGGGACAGAGCTGGCTGCTGTCAGACGATCACGCTGTGCGGCGTTCCCATCGAGCCAACGGACGTTTGCCTTTCACGTGACGCTCCGTGAGGAAAGAATGTCCCATATTCGCTCTTAAATCGTCATTTCCCTGCTCTCTCCGTGGTTTCCTTGCGTCTCTCCATGCTTCCCTGGTCGGAGGGACTCAAACCCAGGGCGCGAACGACGGGCAAGTGGGGACGCAGGGATTCCATTTAACCCAAGTGAGAATGCAGCCATCAGATAGGTAGGGAATTCATTTAACGTAACTTTTTTTTAATAATGTGTCTTTTTTGTTTTGGGGTGACAGGGCAATGTTGATGTATTTGAATCACAATCCTACCAAATATCTTGTTCATGTAAACCAAACTTTTTCCCAACTAATACTGCACAAGATATTTAACTCCTGCGTTAACAAAATATATATTTATTTATAACTAAGCTTCAATCATAAAGACAAGGTTGTTATAAGAGTTACTCGCCATGCATAACATGCAAGCGTTTAGTATTACATTTCATTTGAATTTAAATCATTTATTTCATCGTAACTTTGTGTTTTTCAAACCACAATATACAGGTTATGGGGAAATTCAGTATTTTGACGAAAAAACCATAAATCATCTTTTATACAATAATCCTGTGGTAAATGTAATACCTTTTGCCTAAACCTCTGCCCTTTTGTCGACATGATCAATAGTTACCACCCAGCTTATACCTTTCAAACCATAGGATTAATATCTGCAGCTTCATTGGGTATTAAAGCCGGGTTAAGGTTGAATACATCTTGATCTCAATATCTGATAGTGAACTTTTATTGGGGAGGGAAGTTTTCAAATACTGTGAGCTTACCTAAGATAACTAGCGGGCTGTGTTGACTGTAACTTTAAACCTGGCTGCCTTCCAATTGTGAACACTGCAACACTTGTTAAACGTGGCCGGGGCAAACATAGAAAAACTAAAACATGTGACTGGGTGTGCATCGCAACTGGAAGCTGCGGTCACAACACATATCCGGTCTATACATCTGATTGGAAAGACACCTACAGTCGAGCCTAAATTAATTAGCCCCCAGGGAGTCTTATGGAATATTTTCCTTAAAAACTCTTCCCAATGGTTTCCAGCATCTGATAACCACCTTGATATAATCAACACATTCACCAGTGCTATTTAGTAGCTTTCGTACATTTTGGAAAATAAAGACGTTTGTTAGGCAAATAGTGAAAAATGGGGTTGCTACACATATTAGCAAGGGCCATTAATACGTCAATAGTGTCCACCCTTTCTGAGCCACAACTGACAACACAACCGTCTTAGAGTAGCCTTCTTTACTAAGGTTGCCAGGTTCATTGAAGGATTTGGCCCATTCTTATTAAAAAGTTGGTTCCAGCTGGTTCCATATTGCGGGTTTCCGGGACCATGGACATTCACTCTTGACACCGCCCACCAGATTTCACACCTAGGCATTAAGTTCTGGGCTACTGTGCCGGGCCATCCAGCAGCTCCGCCGGTTTGGTGTCCTTTAGCGAACTGTTGCACAAAATTTTACGTGTGGCTTTCTGCGGTCATTGTCTTGTTGGAAGACCCCAGCGACCGACGTAATCGAAGACTAAGACAGATTTTTATTCATAATAGGGCCTCAAAATGCGTCAAC